CTCGCTCGATTGTTGTAGCCTCTTTGACGAATTCCGCTACGCTTGTTGGTGGGTTGCGTAGGATACCGGCAAACAGCTCTTCCTTGACGCCCCTCATCAAATGTCGGAGTTTTTTACCTTTAGGCATCTCGGGGTCGGCCCGCTGAAATAGGCGGGCCATGTCTTCCGCAAACATGGCGACGCTCTCGTTTGGTTTCTGTATGCGTACCTCGATGAGCTGCAGAGCAGAATCACGGCGGTCGGTGTTTGCGAATGCCCCGAGAATTCGCTGCCGAAATTCCTCCCACAAAGACAGCATTGACTCGTGGTTCTCGTACCACGTACGAGCGCTGTCTGCCAAAGCAAAGTAGACGCGCGATAGCTTTTGTTCAGTGGACCAGCGGTTGGCTTTGGCGACTCGCTCATACTGGGCTAACCAGTCCTCGACGTCTTCATAAACCTCACCGTGGAAGGTCTCAGGAATTAGAGGCTGATCAACAGTAAGCTGTGAAGGCCCTCCGGTAGTTATTTCTCCCGGTACGGTGTGTTGCTGGAGAAGTTCGAGCGGGATCGCCTCGGGACTAAGGCCTCGCTGTCGGCGACTGTAGCGATGGACAGGAGTATCCTTTGCAGGAATGGATTGCGGTGGTGGACTCGATGTGCTAGGGCGCGGAGGTGTCCAAAGCATCATTTGGAGAAGTCGAGCACCTCCACCAATGTCGCTAGGTGAAAATAACAGAATACAGGACGACGGTGCGACCAGAAAAAACGAGGTCTGTATTAACAGAACGAAAGAGCAGCCGCTTCGACTTCTTCTTCTTCCTCGGAGGAACCGTGGGTGCTGTCCACGCTCATCACTTCATCGTCCTCTGTCTTCTTGCCCGGCCTTTAGCAGTGACATTATGTTTTACTGCACATATGTCGATGACGTGCAGCTTTGTTTTAAGTCTTGTAATCTGGCCATGTGTGAGCGGCATGTTCAGCTTGGTTTCAACAAAGTCTCCAATTGGGCAGAAGAAAACGGGTTCCGACTGAATGCACAGAAAAGCAAGTGCGTTTTGTTCTCCAGGAAGAGAGGCATCCATTCCGAACCCAATATTCAACTACATGGGCAACGTCTTTCTGTTAATACTAAAACACATATTCTTAGACCTAATATTGGACACCAAGCTAACCTTCATACCACACATCAAGTATCTAAAAAACAAGTGCATAAAAGCCATGAAAGTTCTAAAAGTGTTGTCCTGCACTACGTGGGGAAGTGACAAGAAGTGTCTGATCAATTTGTATACTATCCTCATACGTACTCGCCTAGATTATGGGGCAATAGCATATCAGTCTGCGACGCCTACTGCCGTTAAATTGCTTGACCCTGTTCATCACCTAGGCATCCGCCTCTCTACGGGTGCTTTTCGCACTAGCCTCCTGGAGAGCCTTTACATGGAATCAAACGAATGGTCGCTCCACCTACAGAGATGTTGCATGTTTTAAATATTATCGTAAAGTGAACGCAGACAAGGAACATCCTTCACATTCTACAAAATTATGACATGTCAAGCCTTGCTGTATTGAGAAACGACCTTCTATCAGACAGCCGTACTCACTCCGTGTGAGGGGCCTATCGAAGGGAACCAGTGTGCCAGTTTAACACCGTTTGATGGCTCCCACAGTATGCCTGCCATCGTGGCAGTGACAGACAATAGATTGCGATGTGTCTTTCTTGGAGGTTACGAAGCACGCACCAATTGCACATATTCAGACATACTTCCTAGAACTACAACAGAAATACACGCCCCGAGTTCTTTACGGATGCCTCAAAGACCAACACTTTTGTCTCGAACGCAGCCGTTGGCCCATCCTTTTCGGAAGCCGGCGTTCTGCATCCTGATACAAGCATTTTCACCAGCGAAGCTTATGCAATACTTGCGGCTGTTAAACACATTAAACATGCGATACTTGTGGCTGTTAAACACATTAAACAAATAAAACTACAGAAGGCAATAATATACACAGATTTTAATATACACAGTAAAAGCTCCGAAAACTTTTAAAAAGCACAAAAACCCTGTTCTTGTCTCGCTTCATACGCTCTTATGCACAGTCTACTCATCCAAGCAGCATGTTGTAGTTTGCTGGGTGCCAGGACACCGTGAAATACAAGGCAACGTTCTGGTGGAGCAGCTAGGTGGATCCGACAAGAACCGCTACCAATACATCAATACCAATTCCTGCACCCAACTTGAAACCTTTTCTAAAACGAAAGCTCAGGGGTTATTGGCTAAGCACATGGGACACAAACACAGGTAATAAATTGCATGTCATCAAGCTCCAACTTAGTCATTGGCCGCCAGTATCAAAATCACACCACACAGAATTAATACTTACAAGGTTAAGAACAGGACATACGTACTCCACACATTCATTTCTTTTGTCTGGTAGTGACCCACTTTTGTGTGATAGATGTGGAGAAGCACTCACCGTACTTCACATTTTAGTCCAGTGTAAACAATTAGACACGCTGAGAAGACAACACTTTCCTTTACCCTACCGACAACAGATACCACTTCATCCAGCAATGTTCGCCGGTAGGGAACCACTTTTCACACATAAATTGTTGTTGGCTTTCTTTAAAGAACTCCGTACCTTTCATGTGAAATATCCGGGCATTCCATAGCACGACCTCTCCAGAGAGGTCTCTACTGCGGTAGCTACACTCAACAAAGCACTTGCCTCACGCCCTTGAATGCAAGGGTGTGAACGATTGAGGCACTTGTACTAATTCCATACATGTCCTCCATGGTTTTTATTATTACAAACTTTCGTCATCCATTGACACTACACACATTTCACGACACATCATGATTTTATTACTTCTATGTTTTTACCCGCCTTAGCGCAAGAAATTTAAGACCCTTATACAGCCACTAATCACAATCATTGTCCACATCTCTAGTCCAATGAACTGGTGCTCTTTGGCCATCAAATGGCCCTTGCGCCAAAAAACACCAAATATCATCATCATCAGCGAGTGTGACAGAGGCAGGAGATCAGCCATATGTCGACCAGGAAATATTTCGAGGGTCTGAAAATGTGAAAATATGAGCTTTTTGATTAGCTGAACATACTCTATGTGAATAGAGCTTGACTAGGTAACGACCCCGAATACGTATGCACGCGATTGAGGCGTATGTAAAAGTGCAAGAGATTAAATTTTCTATTCGATAAAGAGGACTCCACTTTCCTGCAGTCCTCCTTGGGTTACGCAAGTTAATATTTTGCACTCGTGAATATTTGGTCGACATGTGATTCGAGTAAAGGTGTTTTTTTTTTCTTTCCGACGGAATGTGAAAGTCGTCGTAAGATGCTGGGTTGGCGTAAAACTGCGTCGTATAACCAAGGTTTTTAGGGGTGAAGCTCCTTATAGCGGTACCCGTTCATCCCTTGTAGTCGTAGTAGTAGTCATAGTGTGTAACTAGTCTTAGATTTTGACCTCCAAGGTGGTGCCGGTGAGAGATTTCTTCTGTGCGTTGTTGAACAATAAAAAATTCGCAGCGTGCGTGTAAGTAAAAGCCGAATTCTTCTGTCTCTCATTCCCCTTTAGCAGCCATTGGCATCTACATTGAGCCCTATCTGACAAGAAAGGGTTGCTACGTTATACTCGCTGGGCATAACCTGCTTGGTTTTAGAAAGGTTTAGCAAGCGTTGGGCCGCAGTGCCTTGAATACAGTGAACTAATATATACCATGACCTCGAGGTGGTTAAAGGTGGTAAGTAGACACGAAGCGCAAGCCGTAAGTAAGTGTGCGTGTGCCACCTCTCGTTTAGTCCTTGGAATGTCCGCTGGATGGCGGTGCATATGCGGAATATACGATGAAAAGATGCGAGATGGTGGTACTTGGAGTGTTGAATAGATGGACGAACGGACACACAGACAGATGCATGGACGGACTTACGGATGGCTGCACCGACGGATGGACGCATGGACGAATGTAGGGGCGGATGCATGGACGAACGCACAGATGGACGTGCGGATGCACGAACAGACGCACGCATGGACGGGCGAATGGATGCACGGACGGTCACACAGACGGACACATGGACGGACAGAAGCAAGAACGAATGGACGGACAGAAGCAAGAACGAATGGACGGACGGATTCTTCGCCCCACTCTCCATCATTCACTTCGTGGATATGCTGCCATTTTTTTAATACATTGTTTCTATGAGGATTTTGCCCGCACCAAACCGATTCATCGTAAAATGCAGGTTGTGACAAAACTGGGGGACGTATAATCGAAGTTTTACTGTATACAAAAAATTGCAGTTCTAGCTGTTGGGTAAAACATTTATAATGATAACAATATGCATTAGGTAACTACATAAAGTTCATTACTTTGTTGGCCGTATACAATGGTAGCTTTATACATTGCAGTAAAACATTTGCTTAATAATTAAAGCATGGTGTCACATCCATCCAAGCAAATGGGAACAGGTGTTCCTTGATAACCACAGTCCTCGCTCTTGTAATGCTGGCATAATTAATAGTGCAAGCTGAGGTAAGTGAATGCTTTGAGACTTTAACACTGTATTCTAAGGTGACAGTTTCAAAGATGACAGAGGTGTCTTGCGTGGGTTGCTCTTGCATGTGTAATCTTCTCACTTGTCACCTGGAGCATGCTAAACGCATGCAGCCAGTTTCCTATCTTAACTGCAACATTAGACATATTGGAAGATATGTTGCAAGCAGAAAATCCTCCTTGTCTCACCGTCGCACAATTTTCCTTCCACCCACAGTGCATTGCGTGGTGTGTGATAGAATCTTATTGCACTTACATATCACATTGAGCATTACAGCATCGTTGAATGTTCAGCTGGAGAGGCTATAGAATGCTATTGCAATGAAATTGAGGAAATTTCGATGGTGTTAATGAAAATATATTCGGCATGGAAAAGGAGGGGATTAAAAGCTTTCAATGAATTAATGTATGTGTTTAACTATGAAATTTTGCTCTCTGCCACAGCATGTCCATGGGGTTTTTGGTCGACGACAAGGCGCCCATTGTGTGGCGAGGCCTTATGGTCATGTCTGCCATTGAGAAACTGCTTCGGCAGGTATGTTTTCAAGTTTTCAGATTTTTTGAGGTTTAGTATATTAAGCACACTCAACTTCTTATGGCAACCTGTAGCTGTGTAGTGTTTGGGGGCGTCTTTTCTTGTATCCAGCATTCAACATTGTGTTACATGACATCACTGTACTCGTATTTACCCTTACTTATATGTGAGAGACATCATTTTCTGTCTAAGGGAGATAGTCCATTGAAACCCTGCCAAGAGATCACCTCTAATTTACAGGAAAAGCGTCCCCACAACCAGACGCCTGGTTGTCAACGGTCTGCATGAACATCTTGGAGACTTGTCATTGACCATATTCTATGGCACCACTACTTTCAATTTCACATCTCCATGCATATAAAACATGCTCAGTGGAGCAAGTAGATTGTAGGTATGTTGTAGGCTCATAACATGGCTTGAAGATTATTGTTCTCATCTATTTAAGTTGAGGAGGAGAGGCTTTTAGACACTCAACAAAAGTCGCATAGCCTTCGACAAATATGTTTTTACATTGTTACAACTTAAACGCTCCCTTCTCATCAGTCAAGTTACATAATCACCTCAGCTTTACCCGTATCTTTGGTAACACCAACGCGTTTAACACATCAGCACTACCGCAAGCCATCTGTATGTGGAATGGTTTTCCTGATGATATCGCCTCTGATAGTAACCCTAACACGTTTCGACACAAACTTGAGATACATTTTTTCGATACAGCGTTCTAACTTTCTCTCTCATCGTTTAACTTTCAGGCTATTTTATATTGTAAACTACTGTGCGTTCTTTTGATTAACGTGATGTAATCTGCTCTTTGTGAACTGTTGAATTAGGATGACTGAATTCATTGTTAATTATTTTTGTATGAGCTATTTTGTTATTATTAATGTGCAATGTAGCATTGTTCTTTATGAGTTTACTTCTAATTTGTTCATGAGCCCCCTTTACTCAATGCCTTCGGGCCTGTTAGGTATTTTTCAATAAATAAATATTAAAATTATGGTGTGGGCTCTCGTTTTTCTATATAGTTTTCGGTTGGAAAGTATCAGATATTCCTCTTGTGTAGAATGTAAATTGCGGTTTGGTAAAAATGTAATGGATTATAATTACTGAATGCTTCCTGGCAAAGGTCTCTGATAAATTATTAAGAAGTGATTGAATACCTTTCTTTTGCTTTGATGTACCAGACATTCTTTTGTCTACACACAGCAAATAATTTATAACATGACCTTGCCTTAAATGGAATGGCTCACACTTGAAATAGTCCCATGATTTGCAGTGCTATATATTATACCAGGAACCTTGTGACCAAGACAAGGATTTTTTTTACTTGGAAGTGCACTTGGAGTTATGTTGTGCATGGTCGAGGTTTCTTATAAAATATGCAGATGCACTTTCATAATATCAGGGGTAGCGTCTAGGCGGTAAAGAGTTTTATGTATTTAGTCTGTGTGTCCTGACCTTTCATGATGCAACAAACCTTTCGCTAATGTGGTGAATGCTGGGGCACATGTAACAGACTTAGTAAAAGAAAAATTACACAGTTTACATCGCCAGTGGAAGCCTCTATCACGTAGCATTGCCTCAGTGAAATTAATCACAGGTACTCAAGCTGCCCATGATAGAACGTAACAATTCAGTGCATTACAGGATGAAAGAAAGTGCAGCAAGAGCATTTCAGTCAGATTCATGCAAAAAAGAAAAAGAAAGAAAAAACTTGACGTTATTCTTGAGAATGATACAAGTTTTCATTTTGCCTGGCTGTGCTCTGTTAAAGGCTCTTGCTGCCTTGCACTGCAGTGCCGACTGTCAGGCAGTAAAACGGGTACAGGGCGGCCATGGCTACATCAAATGGTCATTCTCAGAGGCGGGTAGCTTGAATTGTGCTAATAGTACGTGTACCACTAGAACATATTTTTCTTTTAATCTGAGCATTTTTGTGGCACGAAACAAGTTTCTAGAACAATTATTGAGAGGTTTCTAGCAATCCAAATGGACTTGATATATATATTCTTAGTGTGCCTTTAAAGTTGAGAAAATAAAAAATATACAGTGCTCAGCTGTACATTTTGATATGTGAACATTGATTAGGCTGCTGTGTTCCATGGTTCTTGGCATCTCCTGTGATAAGCTTACTTTCTGAATAAAATGAATGATTAAATGTAATTGATTTTAGACAGAAGTGACTCAATTAGAGTGACCATTACCAAATAAAGATTGCAAGTAATCAATAGCAGAGATATCATAACCATGATGGCATACACATCTAATGGCATTACACTCAAACCTTGATGTAACGAAATATCAGTTATAACGAAGTAAATGAAAAATAGTCTAGCAATAGGCATAATGTTAGGAATAAACCTTTACAATGAATTTTCGAATTTAACAAACCTAATTTTGTGTAAGATGCAATTTATTTAATGAGGTTTGAGTGTACTTGCTTTTGTAGCAATGAAAGATATGGTGCAGCATCCACTATGTCACTGTGTTGAATAGATTGTGTGTGTCCTTTTTTATGATGGTATAAAAACTCATCTCTTTAGTGGGTGAGACCATAGAGTTTCCTAAAATTAACTGGAGGGAACTCTGGCACTGCGATGGTTCAGCGACCATGGGAGTGATGGGCAGCACACGAATTTGCCTAGTATTCATACTTGTGAGAGGGGAATTGCATTTGTGGCTTCATTTATTGCTGTGTTTTAATTTTATTTCAAAGGAAAGAACAAACCCTTTTGAACTTTGTAACCCAATTTGAAATGGTAAGCTTAAAAGAATAAGGTGGTGAAGCGTAACTGCTGAACATTGCTGATTTTTGTTTTGTGAGAAAACAGCTCCAAGCCACACGAACACACACAGAGCCAGAAGTACGAAGGTTATTCAAATTCGTGTATTAGCCATTATTTCCATGATCGCTGAAGCGCGGTGTGTAGCAGCTCCCATAGACACTAGTGCCAGAGTTCCCTCTAGTGTATATTTAGGAAACTCTATGGGTGAGACTAGTATTCTTCATTTTTTAGTACAGTGATTTATGGCATTAGGTGCAATATGGACTCTTTCATTGATCTGAGAAAATCAAGGGGACTGCACAAACTGTGCAAAAGGATACTCATAAAAAGTGTGGAATTGGCAGCCTTGATAAAAAAGAATGCTGCTGCTTTTGCAAAAAGTTACTGTTTCGTTATACCTGCATGTTTTGCTGCATAGGGACAAGTTACAGTGCCTAATGTAGACATTAAAAAAGAAAAGTGGAGGCCTCCTTTGTGAGGAGGGAGGGCTTTCTCACATACTGATTAATATTGCAAATCCCAAAGTGATCAAATACTTACTGAGAACCCCTATCAACAATGTATATCTACTGATGAATTTTCTCTTTCTGTTTTGTGTATATTTGTTCTAGTGTCATTGATGCCAAGTATATGGTGAACTCCTCTCGAACATTGATATGCTGCCTCCTTTCATTTCTAGTTGTATTACATGCTGTGCATAATAAGGTGCCATTAACATGTCATTGTCAAGCTGTAATTCATTTGTCTAAAGGAATGAGGTAGGGGGGGCAGACTAAGGAGCGGTTGATTATGGGAGGTATGATGCCTTCATGGGCTCAGGCTTCCAGGTTAGGTTACCTTGTCAACATTGCATTGGCAGATTATGTGAACATATAATGGGGCAACACTAATTGTTTTGATATCATATATATCTTCATTGGCATTTCTCTACGATCAGCATGCTTTGGAACACAAATTAAAGTCTTCTGTCTGTAGTGTTGATTGCCTAATAATAAATTTCAGGTAGCTTGGGGGCCACTAGACTATCTTGTTGTTGATATGCCACCAGGAACAGGAGACACGCAGCTTTCCATCTCCCAGAACATTCCAGTGTCAGGTGATGCTTTTGGATGTCCTCACTTTGTTTTTCATTGCTAGTACTGATAATAGATGAAAACTGGAGAAGATAGATGAAAACTTTTTTTTTTAGTTTGAATTTTGTGATCTGAAATAAATATGCACAGTCAGCTGAATAGGGGTGCATCAATAGATTTTGCAACAAATTTTAGGCACAAACATTTAGTACGTCGTGCTAATCTTAATGACCATATGTTTTCTATCGAGTGAATTTCAAAATGTTTAAATGTTTTGAAAACGCTGTAACACGTAGTATACTTTATACTCATGTACAATTAGCACATATTTTAATTACAGTAGATGGCTATGTTGAGGCGTGGGCTTTAGTTTATGTGTATGCTACAACTTGGGTAGGTGTGATGTAGCCTAATTTTCTTCAGTCATTAAGTTGACTTTGCTTAGCATCAATGTATCTGCTAGTATGAAAGCTCTAAATTGTGTGTAAAATCTTTAGTGCCAAATTGAAGATATCAAACAGAAAAGCTCAAACACTTGTCATAGCATTGGGTCAGCAAACTTGTTATTAGTGTCAAGATCGAAAGCACTTATTTTTTTATTTCTTCACCAATGCAGGGGTGGTTGTAGTGACAACACCTCAAGAAATTGCACTTATTGATGCACGCAAGGGGGCTGAGATGTTTCGCAAGGTCAGTGTGCCTATACTTGGGCTGGTGCAGAATATGAGTCGGCTTGCCTGCCCAAGCTGTGGCCATGAGTCTCACATATTTGGCAAAGATGGTGCCTCCGAACTTGCCAGGGAGATGGCGCTTGATATTTTGGGTATGTTGTTTGTTTACTTGGCATGCCTTTACCCCGCTTTGCATGGTTAGGAGAACTACTTTTGAGAGGCAGCTGCCTCCTAGAGTAGGAGTCTCAAATACACGACATGCAGCCTGTTGACTTTTCAGTGGTGGCCCGGCCTGCTCATGACTGTCTTCATCAATATTTTTCTCCATTTTCGTACTAAGTATATTCATGGACTACACAGGTCTAACCAGCAGTTTCAATATTTATTGTTTTTGTGTGTGAGACACCCTCTAAATTCACCATGCTTTGAAATGTAACCATGGAACAAGAACTAAATTTCTGTATCAGCACCCAGATTTTATTCTGAAGATTGATGTTCTGTCATGTTAATTCTGATGTCAAGTCCCCTTCTGCATTGACCCATATATGAAATATGGGACGTGCCTTCTTACAAATGGCAACGTTAGCTGACATTTTGTTCATACTCCCACAATGCAGCTTCACAATCAATGCACAATTTCTTTTTGTAGTGCTGTGCTTTGCAATTACTGAAATACCAGGAATATGCAGATCTAAGTTTTTCTTATACCTATCTTTATGTTGGAAGTTTGAATTGGTCTTGTTAGTGTTTCGTGCAACAAAACACCACACTTTAAACTGTAGCATAGCCAGGGGGCTATGCCAGAGTTTAAAGTGTGGTGTGTCCCCCCCCCCTCAAATTAAAAATTTTTCATATGTATATAACACACACACCACATGCACACCCGCACACACATGTGAAAGGCAGTTGAACCCCCCTCCCCCACCCCACCTCTAAAAAAAGTTTCTGGCTATGCCTCTGACTACTGTACTCACAGATTCAAATAGGACAATTTAGGGCTAACTATTGAACATGTTTTCCTTTCTACGAGGGTGGTCTGAAAAGTTCTCAGCCTCAATAAGAATCACACGAGCTAGAACTTGCAGTGCTCATGTGCACGTTCATACAAGTTTCTGCAAGTCTGGGGTGAAATGACATCTAGTGCCGACTAGCAGTTTGGCTTTGCTGTTTGGCTTTCACAGTTGATCACGGTGGGTGTAGTGTGAAACATCGTAAGGCATGGAGAAGCTTGAGTACCGTGCGATGATAAAGTTCTTTGTAAAAGAAGGTTTATCTCTGAATGAAATTCACCAAAGGTTTGTTAAAGTTTACAAGCAACATTCGCCTTCATACTGCACAGTCAAGAAATGGGCTGCTGAGTTTACGAGTGGAGAGAAAGCATTGAAGATGACCCGCACGAAAGGTGCTTCAAAAGTGTAACAATTCCTGAATTGATTGATTGTGTGCATGATATGGCTTTGGAAGACAAGAGTGTGAAGTTGCATGAAATCGCCAAAGATTTCGGCATCTCAGCAGAACATGTAGATCACATTTGGCACAACGAACTACACATGAAGAAGCTCTGCGCAAGATGGGTGCTACGCATCCTTACTCCTGAGCTAAAATGTAACCGCATGACGATGTTACAGCATGCTTTGGAGCTGTATAATAAAAATCCAGTGGACTCTTTGAGTAGGTTTATAACAATGGATGAAACTTGGATTCTACATTACACACCGCAATCGAAACATCAAAGCAGTGGACTAAAGCAGGGTCCTCTGCGCTGAAAAAAGCTAAGTCAGTTTCCTCCACAGAAAAGGTGATGGCCTCTGTTTTTTGGGACGCTTGTGGATTATCTTGAAAAGAATAAAACCATAACTGGGGAGTATTATTCTCACCTTTTAACTCAATTGCATCAGAAAATTTCAGAGAAAAGATCACGTTTGAAGAAGAAAACCATCTTTCATCAAGACACTGCATCGGTGCACAAAGGGCATCCACCAATCACGAAATTGCACGACTTGAAGTACGAATTGTTGAAGCAACCACCCTAGTGTCGTGACTTGGCCCCGTCGGTCTACCACCTGTTCCCGAAACTCAAAATCTTATGGTGGGCAACGTTTTCATCAAATGAAGAAGCAATTGCGGCTGTGCATAAGTACTTTTCATAACTTCCACTAAGTCATTTTAAGGACGGAATCCTGGCTCTAGGAACATTGCTGAACCAAGTGTATAGAGTCAGAAGAGACCATGTTTAAAAATAAAAATAATTTTTAAGTTCCAAAATGCTTTTTTACATCAGACCGAGAACTTCCCAGACCACCCACATACTGTCTTCAGTTTGGGTCATATTCACGTGATTGTGACCCGGAACGAGTAAATAGGGGCCAGCATTCTCTTTGGAGATCAGATTGTTGTGACATCACATGGTTATCTCACGCAATCTTGTATACAAGTTGTTCTATTGAAAAATTTGATGTTGCGTTTGAATCCATGAGTGCTTTACATGCCTACATATGTACTTCCATTTTTTTCCACATCACTTTTTCTAATGTTGATTATGTTCAACAGTTGGTAAGACATGCACCGGGCAGCAGTTTAAAAAATGCCAGTACTATTATCAGTTATTGTTCAAATATATGAGGTGTCTTTGATGTGCTCGTCAAGTGCCATGTGGGGTAAGTGTACTGGGAATATGCTTTGGCCACAATCGGCCATTACTGTTGACAACAGCGCCATTGCATATTCTGCCTGTGTCAGCTACGGAATCAGGTCTCAAGCTGCTGTTATAGCCATATGCCTATTTGCAATTCAGAAATGAACGGACAACAAAAATTAACTATTAATCTGATGATACTACAGTAACAATATCTTTTAACGACAAAGCAGCTGTTCAAAAATTCTGGAAATGGCGGCAATTTTTTTTCTTGAGACTGTTTGCCACAGAAAGAATTAATATGTCAGTTTGAAATTCAGTTTGCCTTTTTTTTTGCACCAAAAATTAGCAACTTATAGTTGGTTTTATCCAGAAATGTCCAAATATAAGTCTTGAAAGTGGCATTCATGGATAGACACCCTGATGAGGTTTAGGTTGCCTATTTTCTACTATTTGCACATGTATATTTATGAAAGGATCACAAAGCAGTTGGGCTTGGTTTCACTTTATGTTGAACTGTAAAATTCTGCATTTGGTATCCTGGCAGCTATTCAAGTGTCAGCAGCAAATTTAGTTTTTACTTTCCATCTTTTTTTTTACAGCGAAATCTGTTATCAGAATACAACAAGAGCCTTTTTTGGTGCCGCAGTTTTCCGCTGCTGCAGCTGTCGCCAGTGTCCGTAACCACTATCGCTTGCAATAAGAAAAAATAACGAATAATAAAAAATACCCAGGATGCACTGGGACTCGTACATGGGTCCTCTCCCTGGCAACCCAGTATTGTAGAGTCAAATCTGATTTTAATTCGAACTTCTGGTTAATTCAAACTCACACTGAGGTCCCGCCAAAGCTATGTGTATTCCAATGGGCGAAAACGCCCTATAATTCGAACATGCAAGCACTTGTGACGGTTAATTCGAACATCATCATCATCATCATAATCAGCCTGACTACGTCCACTGCAGGACAAAGGCCTCTCCCATGTTCTACCAGTTAACCCGGTCCTGTGCTTGCTGCTGCCAATTTATACCCGCAAACTTCTTAATCTCATCTGCCCACCTAACCTTCTGTCTCCCCCTAACCCGCTTCCCTTCTCTGGCAATCCAATTAGTTACCCTTAATGACCAGGGGTTATCCTGTCTATGCGCTACATGCCCGGCCGATGTCCATTTCCTCTTCTTTATTTCAACTATAATATCCTTAACCCCCGTTTGTCCCCTAATCCACTCTGCTCTCTTCTTGTCTCTTAAGGTTACACCTACCATTTTTCTTTCCATTGCTCGCTGCGTCGTTCTCAATTTAAGCTGAACCCTCTTTGTAAGCCCCCGGGTTTCTGCTCCATAGCTAAGTACCGGCAAGATACAGCTGTTATATACCTTCCTCTTGAGGGATAGTGGCAATCTACCTGTCATAATTTGAGAGTGCTTGCCGAATGTGCTCCACCCCATTCTTATTCTTCTAGTTACTTCAATCTCGTGGTTAGGCTCTGCGGTTATTACCTGCCCTAAGTAGACATAGTCTTGTACAACTTCAAGTGCACTATTACTATTACCTATCTCGAAGCGCTGCTCCTTTCCGAGGTTGTTGTACATTACTTTCGTTTTCTGCAGATTAATTTTAAGACCCACCTTTCTGCTCTCCTTGTCTAACTCCGTAATCATTAGTTGCAATTCGTCCTCTGAGTTACTCAGCAATGCAATGTCATCGGCGAAGCGCAGGTTACTAAGGTATTCTCCATTAACTCTTATTCCTAACTGTTCCCATTCTAGGCTTCTGAAAACCTCCTGTAAGCACGCGGTAAATAGCATTGGGGAGATTGTGTCCCCCTGCCTTACACCCTTCTTGATTGGTATTCTGTTGCTTTCTTTATGAAGCACTATGGTAGCAGTTGATCCTCTGTAGATTTCTTCCAGAATGTTTATATATACTTTATCTACGCCCTGATTCCGCAGTGTCTGCATGACGGCTGACATTTCTACTGAATCAAACGCCTTCTCGTAATCTATGAAGGCTATGTATAGTGGTTGGTTATACTCTGAGCGTTTCTCTATTACCTGATTGATAGTATGAATGTGGTCAATTGTTGAGTAGCCTGTTCGAAATCCTGCTTGTTCCTTTGGTTGATTGAATTCTAATGTTTTCTTTACTCTGTTAGCTATTTACTCTTTGTAAATAGCTTGTATACTACAGAGAGCAAGCTGATCGGCCTGTAATTCTTCAAGTCCTTGTCATCTCCTTTCTTATGTATTAAGATGATGTTAGCATTCTTCCAAGACTCTGGTACCCTTCCCGTCAGGAGACACCTCGTAAACAGGGTGGCTAGTTTTTCTAACACAATCTGTCCTCCATCTTTCAGCAGATCTGATGTTACCTAATCCTCACCAGCAGTTTTGCCTCTTTGCATGCTCTCTAAAGCTTTTCTGACTTCTTCTATCATTGCTGGTGGAGTGTCATCTGGGTTACTGCTAGTTCTTATAGTATTAAGGTCGTGGTTGTCTCGGCTACTGTACAGATCTCTGTAAAACTCCTCCGCTATTTTAACTATCCTATTCATATTGGTAGTTATTTTGCCTTCTTTGTCCCTTAGTGCATACATCCGACTTTTGCCTATCCCAAGTTTCCTCTTCACTGCTTTGACGCTTCGTCCGTTTTTCAGAGCGTGTTCAATTCTCTCCATGTTATACCTTCTTACATCACATACTTTACGTCTATTAATCAACTTCGAAAGCTCTGCCAGTTCTATTTTGTCTGTTGTACTTGACACTTTCATGTTTTGACGCTTCTTAATTAGGTTCTTCATTTCCTGGGAAAGCTTGCCAGTGTCCTGTCTAACTACCCTGCCTCCAACTACCACTGCACACTCCGTAATGATACTCGTCAGATTATCATTCATTGTATCTACGCTAAGGTTGGTTTCCTCACTAAGAGCCAAGTACCTGTTCTGCAGCGACACTCTGAATTCCTGTACTTTCTCCCTCAGTGCTAGCTCATTGATTGGCTTCTTGCGTATCAGTTTCTGTCCTTCCTTCTTCAAGTCTAGGCGAATTCGAGACTGTACCATTCTATGGTCACTGCATCGTACCTTGCCAACCACTTCCACATCCTGCACGATTCCTGGGTGTGCAGTCATTATAAAGTCTATTTCGTTCTTATTTTCGCCATTAGGGCTTCTGCATGTCCACTTGCGGTTTTCTCGTTTTCGGTAGAAGGTATTGAAAATCCGCAAATTATTGCGTTCTGCTAATTCTACTAATAGCTCTCCTCTGGCGTTTCTAGTGCCGATGCCATAATCTCCTACTGCCTGGTCTCCAGCCTGCTTCTTCCCTACCTTTGCATTAAAGTCGCCCATCACTATAGTATACTGTGTTTTTAGCTTACTCATTGCCGATTCCACGTCTTCATAGAAGCTTTCAACTGAAGTATCATCATGGCTGGATGTAGGCGCGTAAGCCTGTACTACCTTCATCTTGTGTCTTTTATTCAGTTTAATTACAATACCTACCACCCTTTCATTAATGCTATAGTATTCCTCTATGTTGCCAGCTATGTTTCTGTGAATTAGGAACCCCACTCCCAGTTCTCTTCTGTCTGCCAAGCCCCGACAGCAAAGGACGTGCCCATTCTGTAGCACAGTATAGGCCTCATCTGTCCTCCTAACCTCACTGAGCCCGATTATATCCCATTTAACACCCTCTAGCTCCTCGAATAGTACAGCTAGACTTTGAACATACCGCGCTCCAAAAATGCTCTCAGAACCACGCCCAATCCCGCCGCGGCATCTGCGACACCTCAACGCTGCACGCGAAGGAAGAGAAAAGGAAAGAAAAGGCTGCAGTGTAATGCTTGCTCTCTCAAATGCCGATCTGCGACGCGCCTGTGTCACGCTTCCCTCTTTTCTGTTCCTGCCATCTAAAGACCCTTCTCATTTCAACGCCGCGCACGAAGAGAGAGAGAGGAAAAAAAGAAAGCTATCGCGGATGGTTGGCTCTCCCTCATGCATCGCTGCCACGCTTCCCCCTTTCTCGTCCTTGCCACATAAACTTTTCTCCTTCCAATGACGCGCGCGAAGAGAGCAAAAAAAAAAGTTGCCGTGGAGTGTGGTTCTCTCTCAAATGCCGATCTGCTTTTCTCCGCGTGGAGATGCTCCTCCTTTCTCATTACGGCCCCACTACGGCTGCGTTGGGAGAGTTGTCGCCTTTGGCGAGTGTCACCGCTGGACATTGCGGTGCGCAATTTCTTTTGCCAGGAGAATGCTGAAGCAGAATCAGAAATTCTTTGCAAGCTGCGTGCGAAATAGACTCGCTGCAAGGGAAACGTGTGCAGACGTGCATCACCAATTACTTCATATAATCATGGATGTCCTGTGATTTGTGAATAAATGTAAGTTTTCTGAAACTTCCCCCTCGTGTGTTAGCTCAATGCACATGCCCCACTGCATAGTGAGCCCTCCATTCATTTAGCTTTCATTAATTCAAACTTCTTTTAATTCGAACAAATTTTCAGGCCCCTTCGAGTTCGAATTACTGAGATTCGACTGTACCACAAAGCCACGCTGTTGCTAAAAACTTTGTTGCAAAAATATCTTACACACATTATTTTGGGCAGAAACTACATTATTATGTGTAATTAAGCTTGGCAAAAGAGTAAAATAGCAACCACGTGTCACACAGTGCGAATTCTGTAACCAAGTGTCAAACAATAGCGATTGCATAACGAGTGGGATGTTCGACGCTTCCCCATTACAAAGGACTCAGCCGAAATCCTTCATTTTCAGTAGCCACCGATGGCCACTGCATTAACAAAGTGCTCATAATGCCTTGCAACATTGTAGTGGGTACCTTGCTTCTCCAAAGATGAATAATGGCGTGCGGTGCTTCTCACCTTGAGGGAAATTATTGTTTATGGCGTAGTGGGTACCTTGAAAATGCCACCCTTCCAGTTTTTGTTGTGTGCAGGTCTGTTGGTTTGTAAATTTATTTGTGTATAATTATCTACAACCACTTACTAAGGTACTGTCTTGGCATGCTAAATGTATTTGCATGAACTGGTCATAAAAATGTTTGATGGTAAATTATATTTTCTGCTCTTTAGGTGATGTTCCACTTGACATAGAGATAAGGGAGAGTTCTGACAATGGTCAGCCAATTGTGGTGTCTAATGGAACTTCTCCCCAGGCAAGTGGAGTGATATTTGTGCTTTGAATGATTGTGTAATAATTCTATGGCAGAATTAAAAGAAATGAGAAAGGATAAATATTAGGCTGAACCTTCCTTCAAACAACATCAGTGTCAAAAGCGTTCCATGCACATCATAAAAATGGCGAATGACAAATAATGTGTAGCATGTTTTGCATACCTAGAACGAAATTTGAAAAAAAAAAGTGGTATAATCTAAACATTTGAAACAAATGGCTTATTGTTGTGGTCATATTGAGTGACAGGCTATTTCTAGAAGTGGCACTTGCTAGCTAATCAGTTTTGCTTAATTATGCATAAGATGAATTGTACATATTAGGTTACAAGGCACATTTAAAAGTTGATTAACATGCTCAGAAACACCTAATAAAGTCATTTGCACAAAGCAAGGGGCAGGCAGGTTCTTGGGGTCCTTGAAAAGTTTTGGAATTGAAATTACATTTTCAGATTGAAACTAAATTTTCAAAGACCTTGAATATTCTTTATATTGTACTTCTTGCTTAAAAACCTTAAAATTTCTTGACAAATACTTCCCAATATTTACTAAGTGACCTACTTTCTATGGCAGATGAGCATTTATCCAGCAAATTCCCTGTTTTAAAAACAATTCACGGATGTAAATGCACGTCCTGATTCATATAACGCTTGCACGATTTATAACTTCACCATGATTGGTGTCAAGATGCATATTGGTGGCTCCCCACCTCTCTTTTTTTTTTTTGCGGTCTTTGTCATTCCTTCTCCCATCATTAAGTTCGATTCTCCAATAGTGTCTCTGCACACTTTCACTTTCTTTTTCTGAACTTACCTCCTTACAATTCAACTCTGCCTCCAGCCCTTGTTCAATTTTTATCTCCTCCATCTCTATCGAGGAAAGAGAGTACAGTGTGAAATGCTGATTGTCAGTTTGTATCTGCCGATGTAATGAGTAGTAGCTTGTAGAATGCAGATTCAGTAAGATGGAACAGTGAAGGGAAAGTGTCATTGTGTGAGTGGGCAAGTGTCATTCTGTGTCATCTTTTTCCATTTGTCTGTGTCAGTCACACTGTAGCTATGATCAAGTTGAGGATTTATTCATTGTAATTATGCAGCCAGAGGTTAAAAAAAATTTTGTGTGAGCCAGATACGAAAGATAAAAAGTTGGGTTTAAAAGTTCTGACTGTACTGCACAAGCTCAATGATTGATTTCCAAGTGGTGTTTTATTGTCCTTTTTTTTTTTTTTTTTTTTTTTTTTTTTTTTCTACTCAAAGACAACCTTGAATAGATAGCAGATTAAATAATTCAATGGTGGCACTATATTGGCATTTCTAATTTATACCCCGCAGGGGCGCCTGCGCAAGTAGGCGTTTGGTGTGTAGCGACACCACGGACCCGAGCTAACGGGGGAGTTTCTACTCCCTCCCACGCCCAGCCGTGCGTGGCTTTGCCGTGCCCGGGGAAAAGGGGATCCTGGGGGTTGAGCTGACGCTGGGTGATTGGACCTTTAAGGCCCCCCAGCAGAGGCAACACACCCCTTTGGCCCCGGCTTCACGTAGACGGCACCCCTGGGCTGACCCACCCAGGGGAAATCGGCAGTCGCCTTTTCCTATCTCCCTCTCCCTACATCTTCGTCTTTATCTCTTACTATTTATCTGTCCTGTCTTCTACTCTCTTCTATTTACTTCCAATTTTCCTGGCGGCGAGGGTTAACCTTGTGTGGTGGTCCTACCTTGGGTACACCATATTTGGTTATAGCAACGATGTACAGTTGGCATGGCAGGGCTTGCTCCATCACAACCTCTGCCGTGTCCCCTTGTTGGGCTCGGTGGTGGGTGACTGGCATTGTTGCCGAACAATGTACTCATTTAATGGGATCGTCCAACATTTTCGCAAAAGATCGTCCCCCGAAGCGGGGGCGCACCGATGTAACCGCTGAAATCCTCCAGAAAAAGAAAGACACCTTCCCCAAGTATCACGTCATCCACTGTGAGAACACCGACAAAAAAGTCCGTAACATTTCACCTTTCCTAGTGTCAAGGTGTCTCACTGAGACCATCGGAAGCGGCTACAAAGCCACGAAGATGGCCAGTGGGGACCTGCTGGTTGAAGTTAAAGATAAGTCGCAATATCAAAAATTGACGAACCTTGTAGCGTTTGGGGACCAACCGATAACTGTCACCGCCCACAGAACAATGAATACGGTGAAGGGTGTCGTGTCAGACGATGACCTCATGGACCTTACTGATGATGAACTCCTGGCCGGCTGGAAGGATGAGAATGTTGTACAGGTACAACGAATAAAAATCAGACGAGACAACAGGGAAATACTCACTAGGCACATAATCGTCACCTTCAACTCTAGCACACTCCCAGACGAAATAGAAACAGGCTACTTGAAGTTGCACGTCAGACCATACATTCCGAACCCAAGGCGCTGCTTCAAGTGCCAAAGGTTTGGCCATGCATCACAGAGCTGCCGAGGGCAGCTTACTTGTGCTAAGTGCAGCGCTACGGGACACTCTGCTGATGACAACTGCAATGCTGAAGCTCACTGTGCAAATTGTGATGGTGACCACCCGGCGTACTCGAGATCCTGCACAGCTTGGAGACAAGAGAAGGAGGTCATCACTATCAAATATAAGGAAAACATAAGCTTCCGCGAAGCCAGACAGCGTCTCTCACCATACCTTGCTAAAAAGTCATCATTCGCCGAAGTGGTGCAACGGGGGCCAGCACCACAACGGCATCAGGCGGCCGTCCAGGCCACGCGTAGTGCGCTGAGGCGACCGCCCCTCGCCCCCACGGTGGGAGCAGCCACGGCTGCCCTACCCTCCCCTAACGTGGCCACACTGGAGGCCTCTCCTAGACCTGGCACCAGCCGGGACAGCTCAGAGGCCAAAGAGGTCCTGCCGACCTCTTCTCTGGTGGGGTCAAAGGCCTCGTCTGCCAAGACGAAGCCAACACAACGCCATCATCGCTCGCTAGAGCAACTGTCCGACGTCTTGCACGAGGCGATGGACACTACTTCTGGCCCAGCGATGCAGGCAGCGCCTAAGGAGCGGCGAGACACTCTCGACCGCTCCAAAAAAAAGCAAAACCCCAATTACAGGGCCAGAAAAGGGCCCTGTAAAATAAGTGAACCTGCACCATTTTGGAACTCGCATTTTTTAGTTCTTTTAGAAGCAAGTCACCTCCATTCTACTATATCCTACTCACTTGTCCCTCGATTTTTAAACTTTTACATTCAACATGGCTTTTATAATTCATTGGAACTGTAGAGGGCTTTTAAACAATTTTGGTGACGTAAAGGAAATACTACACGACTTTTCTCCTGTAGCCTTGTGCCTTCAGGAAACCAACCTAGGTGATCGATATCAAAACATCCTAAAAGGCTTCACTGTTGTGCGGCGCGATCGTACGCAGGCAAGCCGACTGTCGGGCGGTGTGGCTGTTGTTGTTAAAGGTGGTATAGCAGTCAGAGAAATTCATATTAATAGTCATATAGAGGCCGCCGCCGTTACCATTGTAGCGCACAAAACCATCACCGTCTGTTCCCTCTACATTCCACCGCACACGCAATTCACCGTAAGCGATTTAGAATTAATTTTAGACCAACTACCCGAACCTTTTGTGATAGCAGGTGATTTTAATGCACATAACACGCTTTGGGGTAGTAAAACAGTTGACTCTAGAGGACAAACACTTGAAGATTTTATTTTAGCCAACGATGTTTGTCTTTTAAATTCTGGCGCTGCCACTTACTGCTCCCCAAGTTCAGGAGCTATGAGCTGCCTGGACCTTGCGCTATGCTCTCCAGCGCTGTTCACAGATTTTAAATGGAAGGTAATAGATAATCCATACGGTAGTGACCACATGCCTGCACTCATCAGTCTAACCACAGCACTTCCTACCATACCCTCCAGACCACCCCGCTGGCGACTTCATTTGGCAGACTGGGCTCTCTTTACCGATCAAGCCAGTCTGGATAAAGAGAGTCTAGATAATCTGAGCGTAGATGAAATGAATCAAAGGATTACAACGTGTATAATCGCGGCAGCAAAGAGAGCTATCCCTCAGTCTTCTGGTTGCTTAAAAAAGAATTTGAAGCCCTGGTGGACGCACGAATGTACAGAAGCCAAAAAACTCCAAAATAAAGCCTGGGGTATCTTCCGGAGGTACCCGACGTACGATAACCTCATCTCCTTCAAAAAGGCGAAAGCGAAAGCTAGATATGTTCGTAGGCAAGCTGAGAAAATCTCCTGGCAAAACTACGTTTCATCCATAAACAGCTCGGTCACATCCAAAAGAATGTGGGATCAGGTTCGCAAGTTTAATGGCAACTACGCTGCCTATACCATCCCCTTTCTTTCAACAACAGGTACTCAGACATCCCTACAGGAACAGGCAGACCTATTAGGGCTTCACTTTTACAACATATCTAGCTCAGCAAACTATTCAGAAACGTTCCTAAGGCACAAGCAATCTATAGAAAAACAAAGCTTCCTACAGCAGGTTTCTTAGACTTGCCATACAATGCGCCTTTAACCATCCATGAACTGAACACAGTACTTTCCACAGGTAAAAAAACAGCGCCTGGTCCTGACACAATACACTATGCAATGCTCGCCCACCTGTCGCCAAAAACAGTCGAGGCCCTTCTGTTTTTCTTCAACGTTATTTGGCAAACTGGTCGAATGCCCACGGATTGGAAGAAGGCCATTATAATCCCATTCCTAAAAACGGGAAAAGATTCTACATTAGCAAACAGCTATAGGCCAATCGCACTTACAAGTTGTCTTGCAAAAACCTACGAGAGTGTCATTAACATCAGGCTTACGTACGTCCTCGAAACAGAAAACTCACTAGATATCCACCAATGTGGGTACAAAAAAGGTTGTTCAACAATTGACCACCTAGTTCGGCTGGAAAACACAATACGAGAAGCTTTCTTACACAAACAACACTGCCTAGCAGTCTTTTTTGATCTTCAAAAAGCCTACGACACCACTTGGAGGTATGGTATTTTACGAGACTTGGCGGATCTGGGAATCCGCGGCAGAATGCTTAACTGTCTCTCCGACTTCTTGTCCAACCGAACCTTCCAGGTCCGCCTTGGCGTGACACTCTCTCGTGTATTTACTCAAGAAAACGGTGTACCTCAGGGGTGCGTTCTGAGCACTACACTTTTTGTTGTGAAAATGAACTCTGTAAACAAAGTTATACCATCCACACTGATGCATTCTCTGTACGTTGATGACCTCCAGATTGCGTGCCGCGCGTCTAACATGGTGACATGTCAACGACAGACTCAAATCACGTTGAACAAACTAACACAATGGGCGGAGAAAAACGGCTTCTGTTTCTCCGGGGAAAAGACAGTTGCCGTAGTGTATTCTCAGAAAAGAGGCTTGCAGCCGGACCCAATTCTTGAACTGAATGCAACAGTCCTACCAGTTAAACAAGAGCACAAGTTTCTAGGAGTCATATTTGACAAGAAACTTAACTTTCTATCACACATTACCAGTCTAAAAATTAAAGCGACTAGGGCACTCAATGTCCTCAAAGTTCTGTCGCGGAAGCGGTGGGGCGCTGACCGTAAGTGCCTTCTGCACATATATCGTTCATTGGTGCGTAGCAAATTAGATTATGGAAGTGTAGTTTACGGGTCAGCGAGACAATCCTACCTCAAGAGACTCGACCCCGTACATAACAAAGGGATACGCTTGGCAACCGGTGCATACCGGACCTCGCCGCTTCCCAGCTTGTACTCCGAGAGTAACGAACCGGCACTGGACAGCAGACGAACGCAGCTAATGCTTACATATGTCCTAAGAGTTCGCTCATCGCCAAACCATATATGCTACAACATTATCACACACTGTGACAAACGACTCCATTACACAAACAAACCAAACGCAATAAGGCCACTTATACTCAGATTCGAAGAAAAATGTCGCGAGTGTAACGTCCCTACAGATGCCCTTTCTGTTACTAAAAGGCCAAGAAGGCTGCCTCCCTGGAAAAACTTTACGCAATTTCTTGACCTCTCATTGACACATCTCAAAAAACAAGGTACACCACGTGAACACATATTGCAAGAATTTCGCATCGTTCAAGAAAGGTACAGCACATACAAAGAATTTTACACTGATGGCTCCAAAACGGCTAGTTATGTCAGTAGCAGTGTCGTCCAAGGTGCGTGGGAAGAAACAGTCAGATTACCACGGTTTGTTTCAGTTTTTACTGCTGAATGTTATGCCTTGTGGATGGCAGTAAAAAGAATTGAAAGTGCTAGATACAAGAAAGCAATACTTTTTACGGATTCCTTGAGTGCATTGAAGGCCCTCCATATACGCTCTCAATACGAACCCTTCATCGGCGACATTTTAAGCGTATTATCGCGTCTAAGTGAAGGACAAAATATCCGGTTCTGCTGGGTCCCAAGTCACGTCGGGATACCCGGAAATGAAAGGGCAGATCAGTGCGCAGCAACAGCAAAGAACTTAAGTATCTCGCAAGTAAATGTTCCCGTTAGGGATAGTATCCGCGCAATCCGTACAGCGCTAACATCTAAATGGCAACGGGAATGGAATATGACAGGCAACAACAAACTTCAACTAATCAAGCCATTCCTAAATGAATGGAAGTCATGTTACCACCAAGAACGTTTTATCGAAGTAATCCTGTGCCGTCTTCGAATTGGTCACACGCACATCACTCATAATTACTTGTTAAAACAAGAAAAACAGCCAACATGTGATAAATGCGATGAACCTCTAACAGTGTTGCACATCTTGCTTACATGCGCACATTTGGAAGCACATCGAAGAAAACATTTTTACACCTTGTACAAGTTACGCATTCCACGTCACCCCATGTTCCTTCTAGGAGATGACGCGCTGATACCCCTAACCGACGTTGTCAACTTCCTGGATGACACCAAATTTCTAAATAAGTTATAAGAAGCACGCCATCGTATTTGTACGGTACAGATCTGCAAGATTCACGAACCGTGTGGCCACAGCACGGCCTCTTGCGAGAGGTCAGCGCTGTGACAGCTTCTTTTGAACACAGCACTTACCTCCTGGTCCTTGCGCACAAGGACACAGGTGAGGCGGGAGTGCTGGAGCGATCCCCTCACATTTTTTGACAAAATCACCTCACGCACATACCATACCCATTGACCACGCCATGTACCATGTCCATAATTTTAAAAGTATACACATTACGCGATTGGTTTTAGGTCTCTATACAGCCGCACAACATTATTCATTTTATTCCATTAGTCATCGTCAACCGCGCATTCATAGTCATGACCATTGTAAAGGAAAAATCACCTGGACGACGAAGCACATTTTCCCCTGACTGACGGATTTACTCCCTCAGAGAAAATAGTTTTTCAATCAGACTTTCACAACACAATGTATGCCGAGCTAACTAGTGACGTTTTCTTTTGCTCTTTTTTCTCTCCTTTTTTTCACCATGTGGCTGGCGCAGCATAGCCTTAGTTGCTTTTGCGCCACTAAACCCAACATAACTAACTAACTAATTTCTAATTTATATTAATTTGAATTTATGTTGAAGCAGCAGCCAAAAAAAGATGAGATCATTACATGAGTACATGCAGTGCAATAAGGCATCTGGGGTATGTTAGTTCACTGTAGAGTTGTTATTGCCTTTGGAGTCATCTTGATGATTCACGGATATTTATTGAATATCAATGGAGTAACACTTCCCTGATGCAGAAATTTGTTGGATTTCAATGCAAAGCATCATTTTTTTTTTCAAGTTTGGTTCCGCTGCAGTGGACCATCCTGCTTACTGTAAACTCCTAAGCAAACAATGCCCTCTTTTTTCCCGAGACACTTGCTATATAGGATGTGCCAATCACACAGCAAAAGCCAATACCATCCCGTGTCGCTATTTTCACTGTTAATTCAGCATTTTGAAAACGGTGAATGCATGCGTACTCAATAAAGCATTTCATTAGAGGTACTAGTATCAGCGTCAAATGAAACCTGAACAGCGGCAAGCCTTCATGATGGTATAGTGCAAGTCGTCCAGTCATGCCTATTGACAGGTGTGCGCATCCTGTTCGGCTGCTCTGCACATATATGCGTGCCTGTTCATGGTGATAAGTGGACGGCGTGCGCTGTACCATCACGAAGGCTTGCCGCTGTTCGGGTTTCATTTGACGCTGATAGCATAACTGAACATTTTATATTTTTTAGTGGCTCTTCTTGCGCCATCTTGAATTTTCTCCATGACTGAGCAAAGGCCCCTTTTCAAACCTTATCTGATTATGTTTCACCTTAGGGTGGACGTGCTTCATGTTAATTTTATGTGAATTTTGCATTTGAAATGCCTTTGAGTACTGTCTTAGCTGCAGACACACGCATGCTATGAAGTTTTAATTGTGTTATTCTATCACTCATCATTAAATGTAATAATGAAACCATATCTGTGTTACGTCAAAACCTCAGGCTCCTCCTGGGCACAGACTTTTTGTTTTTACCAAAAGTAATTTTTTTATACAGTATCAAAATTTTTGTATAGCTTGTATTGATTGTGAAGGAAGGAAGGTAAAAATAATTGAGGATTATTTTAAAAGTTATCCTAATCTAATGAGGAATATGGGTAGCATTGTACTACCAGGCATGGGGTTACAATATTGGATTCCAGCTGTGCTGATTGCATTTAAGGCAGAATGGATCATGTGAACCATGCATTGAGTCAAACAAACCTAGGTGGTAAAAATAAATCTGGAGTCCCCCAATGCAGCATGCCTCATAATCAGATTGCAGTTTTGATATGTAAAACCCTAGGGGTGTTGAAGATTGGGCGAGTTGGTTCGTCGTACTTGAACTGGTATAGCGCATTACGGGGAAGAAGAAACGACCGAGCAGACCGACACAAGAGGACAGAGCGCTAACTTCCAACTGAGGAAGTTGGAAGTTAGTCTCAGTTGGAAGTTAGCGCTCTGTCCTCTTGTGTCGGTCTGCTCGGCCGTTTCTTCTTCCCCGTAATGCGCTATACCAGTTCAGGTAAAACCCTAGAAGTAAATTTAAAAAATTAATTTTAAAGCTTTTTAGTTTTTCCATGCTTGCTTAAGTGTGCAACTTTTATGCCTGTAATTTGTATTTATCTCTATTCTAACTCAACTTTGCCGTCTCTCGGAAATCATTAACACTAATTGGTACTGTTTGTTACAGGCTCAAGTCTACAAGGACATGGCTCAAAAAATAATCCAGAAGTTGCCAGTTTGAGCACGCTGATAACTAGTCATATTGAGCATATTATTACTACTGGACCAATATGTACAAATGTGTAAGGCTTGTAGAGGGCACTTAGAACATGTAATATATTTTCATGTATCAGGTGTACCTGCACTTGTAATTCTGTTGCTGCAGCTGCTTGATTTTTTTAACTTGTATGACATTTTGGTGTCATCGTTATAGGGAGTATTTTGCATGGCTGAAGCGTCTTCCGAAGTTGCCTCGTAGCAACACTCACTTTCAAATGTTTTGGTGTCAAAGAAGACAGTAGCAGCAAAAGCAAGGACGAGCCAGATAGAACAAAACAGCTTAGTACTTTGTGAGAATAGGCAGGCAAGGAATGACACTTTAGTCACCACACTTGGTTATTTGTAAGTCTTTTCATCCTGCTAGGGAAGTTCCCACATCTCTAGGTTGGATTGTCACCAGTAATTGCAGACAATTTACTATGTGAGTTGTATTGCTGTAGTCACAGGGCCCATGGCTGGGATTACCAGCAACGATGAGCTGACATGATTGCACTCTTTTTTATTTAAAGTTGGAAGTTCGAGCATGATTGGTATAGCATTGAGAAAGAAGCTTGAACAGGAGTGGTGTTTGTCAGATGCACACCCATTTTGAAGGAAAGTTGTAACAGGAGTTGCACATGTGTCCTGGTAAGTAATGACGTGTATTAATATGCTGGGGCTTGCTTTGGGTTATCAAAATTTAAATTGAATGGAGTATAGAAAATAATCAATGTGGTAGATATATATATGACTTTGCCAGATGAACAGGTTGAAACAAGGTCTGCACTTTTTTTTTTTTTTTTGAACATCACAGGGAGTATTTTTAACATGAAAGTGTTTTATGCCAGTGTCCACGAAGATTTCAGTGATGTATTTATGTCACGGAAATGACGTCGAAAAAGTACGCATGATCACAAGATAGAGAAAGTAAAGTTCCGTTAACGAAAGTCGAACCCATAACCTCTGGGTCCATATGCCAGGCACGCTATGCACTGCGCCATGGTCACATCCTTTGTAAGCTTAAAAAATACGCCTTTTATGTGTACCACTCTCCTCTCGCAGCGTTCTTCGTAAAGTGCAGTAATATGCACCAAGATCGTGACATCCGTGATTAGTTTCTTCAACTCGTCGTTTCTGAGGCTCAGTCCCATTCGGCGCTTTTCTAATAGAAGTGAAATTTTGTCAATGCCTTAACACAACCACTGGTGGCAACCTTACCCCGTGCGAAGACATTTCGTAGCATTCATCTATACCAACAATAGCTCTGCGACGCCCGCCTGTTAACTCCGCGTTCCCCACTCACCCGGTGAATAATCGCGGCTGGCCAAGGGGACGACACGACGTGCGTTGTGTTTATCTCTGGTTGGGCATTTCAATAACTCCAGCATGCCGCAAGTAGGCGACCTTAGTGCAAGTTCGGCGTCCAATTAGTCACGCTATTATGGCTGTCACATCGCTTTCTCTAGTTCCGCTCTCACTGTTAACTGCTACAGCTACCGCAAGTATCTATGACTAGAGGGGTTTTTTTAATCATTAATGAAGGATGTTAGTCGTCGGGATTGAGATTTATGACCAAGCGTCAACATGGATTCTTGTACGTTGAGCGGTACTATAGCCCAAACACCAATACATATTATGCAGGCTCTGTTATATTGATGTACAGTAAACATGAAACTATTTTTCTAAGTACGTAGACGTTTTACTTTCGTGTATTACTGATTCCTATGACGGAAAAATCAACCATGTTTTTTTCAAACTTCAGAGAAAAATTGAGAAAATTATTTTATCTTGGGTTATTATACTAAATGGCATTGTGAACATAAAAATCTTAAGGTTGACGGGTGCCCTTAACAAGCCTAGCTCAACAATGTGTTTCGATTTGACTGCTTTGTACGAGCTGAGGCTCACTTTGTCCATGCCAATATCCCTATTTTCTAGGCATTTTGAATGACCAGAGCATGTCCACTTAGTTTTTTCTTCACTGCATGGATCGCCACAACATGTCAGGTTACCAAAGTGTTCTGTTTTTTTTTTTTGTATTTTACTTCCCAGATGACCACTTCTTCAGCGCTCAAAGGCTGTGCTTATTCAGTCCGTTTTCTACAGCGGCATTTCGTCTGTGCTTTTCCGAACATACCATATTTATAATTATAATATATTATTATTTACTTGGTTGTTGGTCGGCCCAATTTATCTAAATTTGAAATATGAAGGTTGGAGGGGAGGGGGGGTAGGCTTATAATCCCACTAGCGCCAGTCATAGTAGGACAAACAAGAAATCAAGGACGCTGTGGCTTAGTTATGACTTAATGTCTACGTTCTGGCTTTACCTGTAACATATACCATATTTCCTCTCCTACAAGTCGCACTGTCAGCATTGATTTGCCAAAAAAACAAAAACAAATCTCCACGTATTGTCGCGATGCTAGCTTCTAAGCATAGCTGTGAAGCACGGCCGTGAAGGCACCTTTGCATGCCGAAATGGGCGTTTTTTCTTTTGATTTTACAGAATGTGTTGCGTAGCTTGTTGGTGACAAATTTTTACAAAAAATATTCATAAGATACTTTTTTTACGAGGACAGGGTAGAGAAATGCATGACAGGATGAGTTTACTAGAATTATAGAGTCGGACAATGTGTAGTCAGTCCAACGACTAGTCAAAAAAATCCTTCATGAAACGCTCTCATGCTTTTTGGGCTCGTAGCACACTGGGAGCCCGACTTGTCATCCATCCATAGATCTCACATGGCGGGATCATGCTCAAAATAGGGGGGTCAATACAGAACTAAAACAAGGCTTCCAATGCTCAAAACCAGGTTGAAACAAATGAATTAGGTATCAAACAATGTAAATAACAGAAATAACCAAGAAGTAATCGAAATAACCCAAAATCACCGACACCTGCTCCGCGCATCAGGGAAAATGTGTCACCTGCTGCCGACACAGGCTCCGCGCACGAGAGGGCGCCGCCGCCTCACCAAGTGGGCAATCCTTTTTCTCAGCGGCGCTTTTTTGGCACAATCGTTGCTACCTCTGAAGGGGGAACAACTTGATGGGACTCGCTGCAATTAGCACCTACGACTCCCGCAACAAGCAGGCAGCCAATAAAGTGCAGCAAAATGTAGCACGCGTGTCGCACATAGAGTTTGCGAATCTCCTTAACAAAATTCTACTCGTATGCCGATTAAATCCTACATGCTTATCTCAAACGTTGATGTCTTAGACACTTTGGTAAACGGAGCAATGAGAACTCCACGAACGGGAATCGCTGGGCGCCCATGCTACGTCTTTCTTCATTTTTCACAGTAGTGGAGCTGTATGTAGCTCAGGATTTGAAAATGCACCAATTGAAGAATTGCATTTTTTTCCCGTGCCATTTGGGGTGATCAGCATACATTCAAGTTGACTTACATTTGTGCACGGTAATTTTATAGCTACAACTGAGCTTGACACACTACAATTTTTTTCTATGTTTCGTTCTGTGCATCTGTGGCAATGACATATATACATGAATATTACTGAGTGAAGTTATAAAATGAAACTTTTTCCCAAAATATAATTAGGAAATTGGAGAAAGATACTTCAGGAATGTTTTGTAAAAAAAAAGTTTGAAGAATATGGGTATGTCGTAAAAAAAGCAAAATAGGGTCGTCCAAGGCTGGAAAAATAAAGCACTGAAGATATAATTGTCCTTCCAAAGCTACATGCGAGCAGCGAAAGGCACTTCGGTAGAAAGTTATAGGTTAATCTTGACCATATCAGTTATTGCTTAATTAATACATGGCTGTTATAGCATCCTACTCCCATAAGAAGGCAGCATCGGCAACTAGGAACATAACCTTTGACAACATGCTCATAACTATTGCAGTGGCTAGTGACAGAAAAAAAAAAGAAAAGCTGAAGCAGCTTTAGTAAGTCACACATTTCTCATAGTTCCTACGGTTTAATACCTGCGAGTATGACCCAATGCATAGTTGTAACAGCATATTCTTATAGGCTCTTTTTTACAAAAGAATAATAAAAAGTTCACTTTATATGTCTGTCCATTTTTCTTTTTTGATTTAGTTTTCTGTACACAGTTATAATACCAGTTTTACAAAGCACAATAGAAAAAAAAGTTCTGCAGTAACAAATCAGTTAACATCATAAGCAAAAGAAGTATACCACATTGCAGAATCAAATAGCTATATGATATACTTTCAGGTCATCAACTTTAGAAGGCTTTACTGAAAATGTACTCGAAAACAGCCTTTGCACCACCCAGAAGTCAAAATTTAGTTGCGTTCAAGTTGTTCAGAAGTACAATGAACTCGCAGCCGTGAGAATTTTTCGAAACGTAGTTGTAACATCAGAGTTGTACGAGTTTGATGATGCAAAAGCGCCCCCCACTCGCTTCGCTCTTTCGCTATGTTCCGGTCGTAAGCTCGTCTCTACGAGAGTGAGGAGGAAAAGTGGCGAGAATGAGTAAGGAATTTTACAGTGAAAGCTGTATGGCTAGGTTAAACGAAAAACCGTTCGGCACGAGATACGCTAAACGTTTCCATTGGCTGCTCCTTCAGTTGCTTCGTTCTCTATGTTGCGTCAAGTGCGCGCGCCATCGAGACGCAGTGTTGCCAATTTAGCTATTTCGTAGCTATATCTAGCTACTTTTGGGCTCGGCTAGCTACGGAAAATTTTATTTAGGTACGAGTAGCTATTATAACATTGTTTATTCAAGATTTAGCTCCTAATCTAGCTATCTTAGCTAACTGTAGCTGTAGTGTATTGTTGACATTTTCAGAATTATTAGTGCTGAGCGATAAACACTTGTGTATATATATATATATATATATATATATATATATATATATATATATATATATATATGTGTGTGTGTGTGTGTGTGTGTGTGTGTGTGTGTGTGTGTGTGTGTGTGTGTGTGTGTGTGTTGTGTGTGTGTGTGTGTGTGAATTTTATTCAAGGAAAGCATAATAGACATTGTATTTTTGAACTGTAGATATTGTCGAAAATTGAAGGCAATTATGTGGAAGAAAAATCGATGAACTGCCACAGACACATGCCCCGCCGCGGTGTTCTGATGGCTAAGGTACTCGGCTGCTGACCCGCAGGTCGCGGGATCGAATCCCGGCTGCGGCGGCTGCATTTCCGATGGAGGCGGAAATGTAGGCCCGTGTGCTCACCCAAGGTGGTCGAAATTTCTAAAGCCCTCCACTACGGCGTCTCATAATCATATGGTGGTTTGGGGACGTTAAACCCCACATATCAAACAATCAAACTGCCACAGACAAAACGTGATTTTTCGTCCACTTTAATTCCTCTTTTAGTTTGCGACAAATTTTCGTGACGCCGTGACGCACGCGCACACACACAAAAGGAAAAATGCCACGACTACAGCTTGCCAAGTGTTGTGGTTCAGAAATCGGCACGATAGGGTCATATTCAGCGGCAAAAGATGATGCTCTACCAATGACTGATATCGAGCAATAATTATATGCACCCAGGAGTAATGGCCGTTTACCGCCACAGCTTCATACTTCTGTCCTTTTACGAGTTTCGAGGAAGAGTCCTTGGTAGAGTTCTAGTTCACTGTAGTGAGAGAATAAACTTTATTGAAGAATTAAAATTACGTGACTAATCCCGGGTGGAGCCCTCTTGTAGAGCCCCACTGGCCACAGCGGCTCGCCGGGCCTGGTCTAGGGTCACCAGTTGGCTCCCCAGTGCCAGCTCGGAAAGCCGTGCCTCCCAAGACCACGTTGTGAGTGTTTGTAGTGAGCGCACCAACCTAGATACTGCATTGGCTGGCCGCTCGGTACATTGGTAGGTTATGTGTGTAAGTGTGGCTGTGTGGTTACTACACCATGGGCATGCCCCTGTTGTGTATATCTGTGGAAAAATTGCGTGTAGTTTTGATATGTGGGGGTATGTGTTCGTTTGGAGGCGGCGCCAATCCCGG